AGAGAGGCGCTCCCTCCCTCCAGACTCCAGACGCCCTCCTCTGACCGAGGGAAGTGGCCAGGGCCACAGAGAAGGAGAGAAGCTGCAGACACAGAAGAAGACAAGAGACCCTGCATTGCTGGGTGGACCGCGGAACTCAGAGGGGTGGACAGACTGCGCAAGGACAGCCGGCCGGCAAGAGTGGGAGCTCTCAGAGCAGAGCGCAAAAAGCTAGAATTCCGCGCGGAGCTGCCAGGCTGACCGACAGACGGTCAGACTTACAGACTTGCAGAGGGTCCGAAGGAGCAGCCCGGAGGCGGAGGCTCCTCCACTCTCCATTGCCCGCGGCGAGAGTCCCAAGCAGCGATTAGCCGCAGGGGCGGCGGGACCAGGAGCCGCAGCCAACACGGTGGCCGCCGCAGCCCTGGCTGCCACAGCTGTGCGGGATCCCAGCCGACACTGCGGAAAGGTCCTTTGACTAGCAGTTAAATAAATCGACCAAACAAACAAAAAGCAACAAAAAAGACAAGCAAAAACCAAACCAAACCAATTCAGCCAAATCAATCATTAAGAACGATAATATCAATAAAAGCCAAAACCAAATCAAATCAACCAAGGCAACAAGACGCTGGGCGTATAGCCACTGTTTGGTCAAGGTAATAATCACATTTTCCGACGTGAACATTGTGTATGTCTTTTGTGGATTTTTTTCCTGCTTTCTTTACGCGATGTATCTGTGCTTTTCTTTTGAGCTGTTTCTCTCTTGTATTTTTTCATTGTATTTGTAGAAAGTTAATGTTGTGATCCACGTATTATGTTTTCTGTTTCATAGAAGGATGAGTGGACTACCCTCCCCCTCCCCTTCAGGCAGAAACGCAGAACTGGAAGTAAATTGAAAAGCACGATGCTTTGCTTTTCCTCAAAGAAGTTTACAGTGATTTATGTAGGTCTCGTGATAGAAAGTTTGCAGTGCTCCTGATCTGCAAAAGAGCTATAGGAGTGGTAAAAAGTTGTAATTAGCTTGTTTTTTTTTAAAAAAGACTGAGGTCTTGGGTCTCAAAAGGATTGCCAAAATAAATGTTTCGGTTTTACTTTTACACTCTTGAAGTCGGTTTCATTGTTACGTTGAACAAGACAGGTGTTTAAAAACTTTCCTTAGAACAGAAATTCACTCAGTCAGTGTTTATACAGAGAAATAAAACTGGAATGGATTGTCAGCCTCTCAGTTTCAGCATATGATCAACTTCTGAAGATGCAGGATAAAGACAGTTCAAGTTTAAATGGAAAAGCAAAAGAGAGAATTGAAAGTTATAGGAATGGAAAAATAAATACTATACAAAGTGTTTAGAAATTGCTTTCATGGGAATATGTTTAGTGTAGGTATTCATGTTGCTGTTTCTTAAATGCATCAGTATGACATGTCAGCTTCTCCAAAGAAGAATGATAGTCCACTAAGTTGAAATGAATCTGTGTAAAATTTTATTCATCTGTTTTGGGTATTGAAAGTACTGTGATTATTTAGAGTAAACAAAAGTGGAGATCACCGAAAATCATTTTTTTAAATTTGGTTAAAAAAACTTTAACATAAATTTTAAATTAAATACACCTATTCCTTTAATCCACTGCATTGCATTATCACAGGCTTTGCATGTCTTCATAAGACTTTAGCTAATGCCATTTTCATGATAAAGAGCATTTGGAAGGCAAGACCTCTACTATGTTTTGTTCAAATAGTGGAATAATATACTATTTTAACAGTAATTGCTTCTGCTGCATTCCTAACGTGGGATTGCATGTGAGAGATTATGTGTGCATTCTTTGCAGGTTTCCATAATTCTTCAAGGTATGTATTTTGTGTGTGTGTGTCTGATTCTATATTTCTTTTTGTATTGTATTCTTTTACTTGTTATCACTCCAACAAAATATTTTAAAATATTCTGAGTGAGTTTAAATGTGTTCTTTGAGGATGTACCTATTCATGACGAAAGATGTAAGAGTATAATCTGTTACTCTCTTTGCTTATAAATACTATTATGATTTGGCTTAAGTAAAATTTTAAAGATATTTAGCATATTATGAATATATAAATTAATTTATCCTCTCTGAGCATGATTTATGCCATTTGAAATATAAAATAGTTCAGTTGCTTTAGATGAATGCTTGTTTAACAGGGTACTTTGTTCAGGTGAGGCATACATATTTCAAGAAACTTATACAGCTCCAGAAATTGACTTTCAGCTTCTCAGTGACTTCATTTCACTACATAGTGGTTTTTCTTTTACAATATTCAGCTCATACCCAGACAAATTTGTGTGTGCTATTAGATTTGCAAATTGCTGATCTCCTAGTGACTTTCTCTCTTAGATTCCAAATGAGCGTGGTTACCTTGAGAATTGAGGCATTTACCCCCGTTAGAGCATGCTCCACTGGGGAGTTCAGTGCAGTCTATTTTTAATGCCATTTAATGAAAGAGCCAGCACTTCATTCAACAATGAAAGAAGGATGAGGAAAGACAGTTCAGTGCATGGTTATGGATCCTGGAGAAGGATATTTGGAAAGGTAAAGACTGGCTGCTGGGTATGGTAATTTTAATCAGGTCTTGATATTATATTAAGGGAATCGATTGAATTTAATGAGAAAATTATACATGAATAGCTTGATATGTGTTTCCAAAAACCTAGTTCTTAGAAAGAAGACTCAATAATTTGAGTTTATCAAAACTTAAAGTAGATACTAACCAGCGATTTCATGCATGCATACTAATTTTAATGTAAGCTGCAGAATCTTAGGTAGTGAGAAGTACCGACATAATTTCAAATTGGTAAAAACAAAACAAACAAACAAAAAAACAACTGTTCTAGCAGATGGTACAAAGCTTATGCTTTATTCTTAGAATAAAATAATTAATATCTTCTTAAGAATTTCTGCCTTGTGAATTGTTTCATTTTCTTTCATGAAATTGGAATCTTGGTCTACAATTATGGCAACTAAGTGAAGCAAGAAGTTTTGGGTTGAACTTGATAGAATATTTAGCTCATTTTCTCTTCTTAACTTTGAGAAGAATACTACACATTATCTTTCTAAAGCCTGAAAATATTTTTAAAATTTAGATAGTAGAGGCAGCATTGATAACATTTAGAATGTTAGAACGAGGGACAAAAATCTTAACATTTTAGTGTGTATAGAGCCGTCTGTCTGCAGCACTTGCACGTATTCAGAACACCTGTCTGGAAGTAGAAAGTGTGAATGTTCAATCTGAAGGGTCTCCACTGTTCATTTTCATATTAATGGTATATTGCAGTCAGGTTATTTCTTTGTTCAGAGCGAAGCTAATTAGCAACATGTATAAGTACTTTCAAAGTTTAAAAAATAATAGAGTGTGATCAGTTTATATTAAGTGGGGAAATAACTACATAATTATTATTGAAGCTGTTATAGCAATGTACAAAGTTGATCTACATTTTACCAATTTTGTAAAATAATTCCCAAAATGAACTACAAAGAGAAATATATTGCAAGGAAATACTGTAATTTTTTGTTTGTGTTCTCAACTCAATTATTCTAGAAGGGAAACAATTCACACTGGCTGTACTATTTACCTTAGTGGCTATGCCATTTGTGCCACAATGCTGATACCTTTTCAAGCTTCTCAAGTCAGTGGGTATTCTCATCTGACTTCAATGTGTATTTTGTTTGTGGACAAGATAATGATAAGCTACATGAGCAGAATGTGGAATGAGTCAGCCACGGGAGACACAGTCTATAGTGTAGCCAGATGTAAATATGATTGAGAATTCCTTTGCACAAGGAGACAGTTTGAAGTCCACAGGATCAGAAATCTCAAATTAAATTTGTATATAATTCAGTGTTACTTGGATTTGCTTTGTGACAAGGTTAGTAAAGAATATGGGGCTTCAAAATGATATCGGCACTGAAAGCCATTTCTTCAGATGGTAAGTACTGGCATCATTCTAACTGGTACCACAGGATGGTAGCATATTTAGGAATTTTTAAATCTCTAATGACAAATAAATGGCTCCATATATGTGCAATATATCACCCGTGAAGTTCTAAATATGTATTAAATCAGTGATGAGGCACTTAAAAAGCATATACTTCCTCTCTAATGACAGAAGGTCTTTATTTTATTTTATTTTTTATTTTTTTACAAAATCTGTGATTCCCAAAGCTCTACATTTCTATGGACTGTACTTTCCTTTATCTTTTCACTGAAATATTTCATGTTAGATGTGAAAAATTTAGTTTTAAACAGTGATATAAGTAGATGCTGAAAGACTATTGAGGAAAAAAAAGAACATTAGCAAGATGTGCGGCTTACTAGATTTTTTCCCCTTCGGGGTGTCTTGGCTTCCCAGTGCATTTCTTTTCATCTGTTCTCATGTTGAGTTTGACTGAATCTATCTATTTTAGTGCCACACTCTTAAAATTTAGATTCATTTGGCTCATATTGGATTAACCTTGGACGTAGATATTGAAGTACTTATTTGTATTTACATCACAGCCATTTCATTTCTAGGAGAATCAGATATGAGATGAGAAGTATCTCAATTGTATACATACTAAGATTCATAAAGAATAAAGTACTTAAAGCAGAGTATCAAGCTCATCCAGCAGTTTTTAATGTTCCTTACATTATTGTCTTGCGGTCTCAAAATCCTCTGCAGGCTAGAGATATATTCTTAAGGTATAAAATGCCCATTAAACATTTTAAGTGTACTTTTTCTGAAATTCTTGGGATATATCTGTATCTTTTGAAAAAAAAAACACTATACAGGCAAACCCAAAAAGTGAATTTAAATAATTACATTGGAACAATAAAAAGGATATTGAAAAACAAAGGGGTTGGTTTGAATGTACCAAATTGGCTCTTGAGTTTCAGACTGAATCCTTAATATCATAATATGTGCCTCTAGATCCTAGTATGGCCAGGTGGAGAGAATGTTAATCACTGTCTATGGTTGCAATAGATCAATATTTATAATTCCTCTAATGCTTTTCCCTGGACTGTATCTTCAGGCACTTTTTATTCCCTCCACTCGATATATATGATAATGCTACATCTATAATTTTTTTGGTTTTATAATCAAAATTAGTATAACATTGCACTTGTGACTTATTAGAACACTGCTGAATTAGATGAAAATTGTTTCACTCAAGGAACATATTCTAAGTATTCCTCAGTCAGAAATTCATATGACATTTAAAAACTTTTTAATTATTCTTTTTATCTAGCAAAGAGATTCACTTCATGTTTGCCATAGAAAGGAAAGAGAGGTCTACTAATTATCCCTTTTAAAAACAAGACTTTTGCTACATTCTCAAATTTTACACTACTTCACAATGATATAACTCTTAAACAATAATACAATTCTTAAATTAGAATCCACTGACATGGGAAATACTACAGAATTGTTAATAACATTGTTTTAAAAATAGCTGTAAGCTTGGTTTTACTTTAAAGGGAGAAACCAAGATTTATTAATAGAACAATAATTAAGTCACTTTATTTTAAATATTTAAAAAAATTTGTAGAAGTTTATCTGGCACTTTGTGGGTAATGTCTCTGCGCAGAACCACAGAATCGCAAATGTAATGTACTGTCATTTTACTGCAGCTTTTTTGTTAAGACTGACTC